GGGCTATTCTCATCCCAGTATCGTCAAATCAGAGGTGATATGATCTTAGTCTATCGGATTTTCCAACAACCCAACCATCCATGTAAATCTCTGTTCGTGTTATCACACAACGTCCATCTCAGAGGGCACCCGCTGAAGTTGGCACTCCAAAAGAGCCGTCTTGACTGCAGACGTCATTCGTTTGCAGTCAGAGTGTGCAGCACATGGAACTTTCTACCCCCTCACGTGGTCTGTGCCCCGACATTAGTATCTTTCAAGCGTCAGCTTGATGATGCACTGGCAATCATTGCTTTTCAACACCCAACTACATAATATATTCTCCTGTGCACGTAAAAAACATTACCTTACTACTGCAATTTCATGAATGTACTGTGTGTGACATTGTGAATCGTGTTCCGAACCAAAGTGTAAACACCCTATGGGATTGAAAAAGCGAAGTCTTTGTAAGTTATATCCCATAATAAAAATTTGAATTTGAATTTGAATTTGAGTCTGGCATTTCTGTACCATATTTTGAGAATCTAATTTTGTTGTTTCCATGACCTTTAAGGGATTTTTTACATGACCCTTATGTTGGCACCCTTATGTTGCCAATGCTGGGTTTGAATCCCACCGAAGTACTGAACTTTTCGAAATTCAAACGTAAAACCTAAATCTGCCACACAACATAATTGAAAACAGATAAACATCATTTGCTTGCCAATTTGGTTGACTTCCTCGGCAGTGAAAAAAATAAAAAGCATAATCCATGCGTCATTCCAATGGGTCATTTTATCATAACATAATTGTGATTCCTTTCTACTAAGGCTTCTTCATTTTATAACTGCTGCCCCAATAACCGAAATAGAGAAATGGTACTTTTATAAGACAGCCAACTGAATGATGTAACAATGTCAACAGATACCATTACAGATATATTGTGTCTGTTATGGGGTATTATCCTATTGATCCCTGTGACTAACCCCCAAAAAGCTAGGCATCGGAAGCAAGAGATCTGACAAAGGTCGGGGTGTCACACTAAGTGAATCAATACTGTGTCTATCCACAGAGCTGCTGTACCTCTGAACGAACGACTAAAGATGTTTACATATCCCGTAGCTAGCACCGATCATTGTGCCATTGTTCACTTACTTATGTTCATCTTTGAATGGAAGAACTTTCGGCCTGATTTGAACTATCTTCATTTTTCTGCACGTGATTATCGACAGCCTCGGCCTGGGAAGCACGTCTTTGTGTCCCATTTATCTCTGTTGTGTTTAGACTGGGTTTCATCGAGTCGATACCGGTTTGAGCTGTGCTCACATTCCGTCGTTTTGGGGGCGGTGGTGCAGGTCGAATCGGAGGAATCGAGCCATTGGTTCCTTCCCCTTTGGATGTGGAACAGATCGATTTGGATTGGTTGACGTCCGTCGCCGATATGTGATCCGTGTCAATTGGTTGCGCAGGGGGCCAGTGAATGGGCATGGAAGACAAAATGATATTATCGGTTACATGAGTAGCAGTAATCGCAGTGGACGGGGATGACAAGGATGAATCCATTACACTGGTTGAACGTGGTATTCCGCACGGATTATTTCGAGTCACCGCTGAGTTCCATTTCAACGAGTTCGAGTGGGACAGAGCGGGCACGTGCGAAGTCTGAAATGGAAGCAGTCGGGGTTAGATTAGGCTCATGCCATGGTCGTTGTTAACATAACCTAAGTAACTAAGTGAGCTCTAACGCTCACGGAACGTAATGCAGAAGCAAAACGAAGGACCTCCGATTGCTCCCGTCCGTGTGTATTCATGATTTGGAGCTTTATGAGCGATTAGAGAGAAGGTTAATGTTAAAACCAGAAAAAGCGGGGTGTACGATGCGGTAAATGATTGAGTTCGGGCTATGCCGTCATGCAGTGTGAGAGGAGTTTATAAATCAGGGCTAAAACGGCTGGCTGGCAGTGTATAACTTTATTTTATCATTCCTGATCCGAGATTTGTCGAGTTACTCAACATATAGGATAAGCATCTATTGAATTTCTGCAGTGGACGTTGTAATTTGATCGTAGGCGAACAGTAATCAAACACCGGAACCGGGTTTGATATTGAGGTTGCAAAATTTCCAAATGTAACTGGATGTACATTACGAAATGAGCGATAATCCTGATTTTTAAACCAATGCAAAGAGTGCTCTTGAAGAAATACTTGCTTGGGTCAATCGATGAGTAGTATAAGAACCGGTCATCAGAGATGTTGAAGAATGTTTGAACTGGAATTTGTTTAAGACGAATTGTTTAAGCCTAATTATGCTGGGAATCTGGGGCGATTCGGGATGCGGCATTCCCGGTAGAAGAAAAATGTCAACTAATTCCTGAATCATACTGCTTCACGTATGGGCAATGAGGCGGACAGTAGATTTAGGGGTGCTGCTTTTAAAGCTATCCCCGGCTATTGCGATTCTCACTTCATTTTCAATGTTTCACATCAATTTCTCAATCCATTTGATCTTGTTCCTGACAGAGCTGCTCCGACCACTGTATAACAAACCATTTATCACATTTTTCATTTTCTCCTTTTATCCAAATCGGTGCACGTTACCCGCCGGCACTCTATGCTGTTTTCGTTATAGAAGACGTCTTTTGAGAAGCCGTAATATTTTAAATAAATGTGATAATTTTTCTATATTTTTTAAGATAAATATTTTCCTAACAAGGTTTTATGTTAGACAGTGTAATTTTGCGTCCTTTGTTTTAATTTGCGATCTTGAGACCATGTCGGTGTTCATAAAAGATACCCATTATCCAACGATGGATTCAACCAGGGAGTACTGTGTACACCGATTGATGGGCCGATTATCGTTCTCTATGTTCTGTTCGATATGTGCATGTGCGTGAAACATAGTGATGGTTTCGTCAATCGTACAAATGGTGTTCATAAAAATAATTTGTAAGCAATTTAGAGTCAGAATAAACGTCGTTCAAAAATTTTAATGCATCTTATTATTATCATTACTATTATAAAATTATTATTAAAATTTTACTGGATCTATTGATGATGTTATTTTGGAATAGTATCGAATGTGGTTTGATTTTTTTGCACAAACATTTGCTAACTACATCGATGCTTATTGGCAAAATGTTAAACAATTGTATATATATTACAAATTAGGTCAGTTTGATAAAACCTTTAAAAACAAATCATCTGAATATTCTCTGGCACACGTTGCGGTGTTTTATCATATGATTGGTTATACTACTTCTGAGTAGCAGATTTATAATTACATAATTTTCGGTCAATAGGGTGCCGGCGCGTAATGTTAGCCTCCAAATCGACACCGTTACAAAACGAAAATAAAAGACATTTTCTGGTAGTATGATTCGAAGAGTTTTCGTTGAGAAATCTGAAAATTTTAAGCACACATACAGAATAAAACACACTGTTGTCGGAGCTCGGTTACCACACCGCTTTCAGTGAACTCAACGATCGGTCGGGTCAAGNCCAAAACATTATACCGGTCTGGGTTGCATATTCAAACGAAGTCGGTTTGTGTGGTAAATGTGTTTTCTAAAACAAACAAAAACTGCCCAATCCTGATGGGCAGACCTCGAAGTAGGTTGTCCATCAGTGAGGTTTTATTTTCAAAGGGATTGAATTGAACAGTACACATCAGGGTTAAAGCTAGGAATTGAACGGTACCGAAAGAAAAATCAGAACGTACCCCACGTCGAGTGGCCAACTGTAAAAATCCATCGGTCTCTCCATCTATTGAATCCCCGGGGGCTGTTGAACCCAAACTATTCTGACCGTTACACAAGGAGCCATCTGTCGTACTGGGATCATCCCGTGATAGTTTACCTCCATCTTCTCTCGAGGGCATCTGTGCATGCAAATTGACCCCGGCCATGGTGGACATGGATCGAGGCATGCGAAACGGATTGAGCGGTTTGAAATACATGGTCCGTGAGTTGTTAATTGTTGCGGTTGACAAAGCACCATCAACGGGAAGCTTTTTTGGATGAGGATTTTGTTGACCCAGAGAATCATAGATGTCTAAATCACGGGGCTTTAAAATTAAGTGGCGTCAGTTTGAATTCAGATAAATTTGTGATATCATTATTGCTCATTGGACAATTTAAAAAATAGCATAAAACTTCTTTCCCAAAGTTAAACTGCGCTGTTTACAATGAATGAGATTTTTATCCACAAAACTGGTTCATTCAATTCAGCTATCAGGAAATGTTCCAAACCAAATAGTTAAATAGACAAATCATGAAATATGCCCATTGGTTAGGGACAAACGAAGTAAACGAGAAAAGGTTTTCAGCTAATTCATTTTATGGGCCTTTACATTCACATTTATATGAATCCATTTCAATAGGGACAAACAGAAAGATAGATGAATAATGTGTTGGGTAATAAGCCCGAGAGAACTCCAAATTTGGACGCTGCTTGGGTGACCTAACCAAAAGTCGTTATGTTACGTCGTGATCATGTGAACAGGCGATTTTCTCTTCCCTTAGTCATGGGAGTTTGAAAATTTGGATCAGACCTGGTTGTGCGCACAGCTCAGGCATTATGAGTTGGATGCTGATCGCCTATGCAGTTGCTAACGTCTGAAACCGTATGGTTCTCGAGGGGTGTGGTGAGAATCGATGACTGATTGTAAATGCCGAGCGCATGTCCACCAATTGTCCTGTCTCTACCAGATGAGCAACGACCGAGTTTGACACAGCTCCACTCACCCTGTGGTGGCCGGCGTGGATTGTGTTCTTTAATCCGTTGAGATAACTGCGTTGTCGTTCGACCCACATAAGTCACACCACAGGTGCACTTGAATTGATAGACAACCATAAATGAGGTCGACATAGGCAATTACGCTATGTTGTAGCATCAGATGTTTGATGACGTAGAGAATACGCATCTTAGCTGAGTGGCATTAAATGTGGATTTCACTACGGCGGATAAAGCTCTGCTGACCTTGTCAGCGGTGGTATCACCGTTGAACGGAAGTTTCATAAAACACATTTTCGTCTCGGTTTTTGGGACTTTTGTTGGCTTATTCTGTTCAGTCCACTTACGATCGACAAAATGCTCAGGAAAGCCATTTTTCAGTAAAGTTCTCCTTAATAGAACAAGGAGTGGCGAGCAAGCTCGTTTTTAGTGATTCGTAGTCATGCCAAATACATCACAATAAATATTACGCTATTTATATGTAAATCAGTATTCAACCATAAAAACGCAAACAATTGTTTTTGGAAAGTGAAAATAACCTCGTGGGTTATCTGGGGCTAATTTCGTCTTGGGACCGGATGTGGAATTCTCAATGATCACATA